CTAAACCCTTAAGATAAACTGAATCTCTTTGCATGAAAAAAGAAAAAATAGATATTGTTTCAAGTCATAGCTTCAGTCGTAGCCCCAGAGACAACTGAGGTTAATATTATAGAAACTGGTTCTCAAAATTGCGTAGGATATAGTGTAAATGAGTTCACAATTCACATAGAGTACATAATTCGTATGATGGGCTTGTTTTATCCACAAAGACATTCAAGTACTTCTGATGACTTCAGAAGTACTTGAATGTCTTTGTCAGACAGAATAGGTACTTCTATTGCTACATAAATAAACGGTTTTTCTTTCTTTCTTTCTACACATTCTTTATAGAAGGTTTGCTGTACTGGCAGACAGGCGACTTAAGGATTACGAAGGTAGGTCTATGAAAATTGGGAATATGCCACGGTGGCTGCTCGCTACTTTAGGACATACTCATTACCCAGGTCCTCGGTAGTCTTCCTAATCTTTTGACAGATTTCTACAACTTATTTCTATTTTGATTGGCAAGGTAATCAGTGGGACTGGGGATTTCATCGCACAAGGGCCGATTTTTCAATCATCAGTTAATTCATCTGTAGAAGATAATTGACATTTGACAGTTTTTTGTATGGAAGAATTGTCAAATATTCAAAGTTATTTCTCAGTTAAAACTTATCTGGTGTTGGAACAATCGTCCCTAAATCTCGCCAGTCTGTCTAATTTAGTTGCAAGCATGCGGCGATGCGTATCATCAGTTAATCATGCAGCGAGTCTTGGGCCAAGTTTATTGCGTCGTGTCGGACACTGCGTGCAATATTAAGCAGCATATTTATTATCAGACAGCGATTTACGGTATGATGAAGTATTTTTTAAGTTTCTACTTTGAATTCCAGTAATGGACGTGAACAGAAGCAAAGAAATAATACTGGAATCCCCATCTTAATTTCTATATTTAAACCTTCTTTGAGTCTGCTTTAAGCTGATCTTAAATAAATCACTAAATTAATTAAATAATATATATTTGTGTCAACAATAAACAAGATCATTGCAACATAAACCAAATGACAATTTGTAACCATAACAATGATTCAGAGTTTGCAACATCTGTTTGTGGTGAAAGTGCAACAGAAAATGAACGAATTTGATACTAACCGGGTTTACATTGAACATAATTTTAAAGGAGTCAACAATAAAGTTGTCAACAGAAGCCGATTTTGGACAGGGCTGACTACTGACAATAAATTTGATTTGATACATCTTTATTACAGGACGGAAGAATTTGCATTGACATTTAGAGAAGAGAAAATAGAGTATAATGTGTAAACCATGACATATCGTAAAAGATTGTAAATAACAAGTAGCTGTAGTTCTAGCATAGAGAACACTACAGCACTGAGTGAAAAGAAAAAATAGCTCAAAGGTGAGGACGAATAAACCTCGTAAAGAATCGTAGAATGGTGGAATTATTTATGATTTCTAAATAATTCTTCTTTTCAGAGTCTGTCAGCCCTGCTGCGAAACCGTAACCAACTGTCTCACAGCTGGTAACAATGGGTTATGGCCTTATGGTCACGGCTTGTGCGTACGGGTCGAAGGGCGCAGGCCCAATAAGGAAGTCCACTTCAGTCGTCTTGCACAATGCGTACACAAATTATGGAGGCACAACGAAAACTTATTTTAAACTTTATCATCTTGGCATAAAGTTGGAAATGTCTTTAACTCCCAAGATTAGAGTACGTTGATCTACGGCTGTCTGTACATTATCAGTGCATTGTTGAAAACATTGTGTTCACGTTGTAATTGCTGCCATTGTTGACAGATTGAATTATACGGCTATTTTGGGTGTTAAATGTTTGTATCAGTGAATAAATCAAAGGTTGGGCTTGTTAACCCACCTTTGTGATTATTTAAAAACAACCTTAACTAATTCATCTAAGCTATAGTTTATGCAAATGTCTTTTTGTTTCAGATTTTACTAGAGGTATGAGAAGACTATTTTAATACTATTTTACTACGAGAAGAGAAGAATCACTATTTCATAGTTGGGAGCATATTTGTCCAGGAAAATGTTGGAAACTGTGCAATATCCAATAACTTGACTGTCAAAAATACAATAACTTATTATCAATCAATCATTAGTTGTATTTTCATAACATCAGAAGTGTACACTATAAGTTTAAAAAATCGTATGTCAGAAAAGATGAGATGATAAAATCAGGGTGTGAGTAGAAAGATGCAAACTAGAGATTCGGTACTTATAATGGATCTGAGCATTATAAATGGCTGCGTAATCAACCTATGTATTATGTTTTACATAGACCTTGGCAGGTAACTTTCTATTTTAATACAATTCACACTTGACTGGCTAGCATGCTTAGGTATGATTTATAGTTAGTAGGTAGTAAGTTGCTGGTTATTTCATTGTAACTGCTGCGATTGTTTGATTGATTAGCAGAACTAAAAGGAGAGTTTCTTTTGGTTAGAAAAGTTGATTCAAAGCTTTCGATTAGATAATAACTTTCGGTAAATAATACAGATGTACCATGTAAGGCACTTATTAGTAAGTAGGTACCTACATATTAGGAATTTAAAGCGATAATACATATGCTTTCAACTGCCAAAACATACCGATTCAGACCCAAACGCGCCACACAAAAGCGTTTAAAAAGTTTTGAACAGTCTTAGCAATTGGTGCCATTTACACCATAACAATTATGCACCTGTCCTTACAACCACAACAAAGACTGAGTCAGCCATTTTAAAAATTAATTATTTGATGAACATGAGCATGTATAAGAAGTATTAATTTTCTATAGACAACGACAAGAAACATAGCACTGCATTTTGTGTTAGTAGATTTATATTATTTCTTTACAAGAAACAATAGTCAAGCTGCAAAAGTCTATACCTGGCTGCACATCAAACTATACAAAACCAGTACAACCTGGTCGTTGCACGTGTGGAAAAAGTTTAGCAAAAGAGACCATAATATACTCGTTGGTATAACTTGATCTGCGACCGTGTGTACTATGATGCGCTGTCAGTAAAACATGATGAAAGTAATAGTAAGAGTCGTACATGTTATATGTAATGACGAGCCGGAAGACATAAAAAAGAGAACGCGAAAAGTTGTAAAGAAATTAATGGTGGAAAACGATTTGTTTCCTATTTATCTGTTAAATAAGTTCCCATGTTGTAACGTGGCGATAGATCTATGAAAATTTATGAGTGTCGTAAAATATTGCAACAAAATACCGATGCTATAAACTGTAGTGATGGTAATAGTCGTCGTAGCTTCGAAAACTTAAGCGATTGATGCATGGAAGAAAATAAATCATAAACATAACATAACAACCACGCCTTTTATCCCCGAAGGAGTACAATGTAACACCTACTTTCACTATGTTATGAAGCCCATGTAATAGGGGGTGAGCCTTTTGCCATATACGAGGCACAATTGCAGACTCCATGCTACTACTGACATTAAAAAAAAACCAGTGATACTTTGCCCGACCCATAAATCCACTGGCAGAAGCTAATTTGGTATTGAAGAAATTGAGTGACGAAAGATCTAGATCGGATCGGAAACCTTAACCACTACAATTTATGTTATAGTTCAAACTAAACTTTATTAAATAGATACCTGAATTTGGAAATAATAATACCTACTTTATAATCAAGTATTGTTATGTTATCCACATATTTTTATCAATGTGGGTCACCGGTCATATCGACCGTTCTACCTTTAACCACCCCGCTAGAAAATCAATAGTTTTTACTGGGTTACCGACCTGAACTGGTTGGATTCAGTACTGAGCTTTATAACATTAAATATAGGGAAATGAATGAAACATTAAAGTAAAATACTATATTAATAGTAAATCTCCATTCATAGAAGGATTTTTGAAATTGGCTAGTAAAAGTCGTTGGTGTACCTGCTTGTCTTAATTGAAAATATCAATTGATAAAGAAATGAAGTGAGCAACAGAATATGCGTTACATTTTAATGGATAGTCTGTTTGGTTTTAAAGCTTTATTTAAGTTTGTAGAATGTAGCAATTACCTATGTAGCCTTAACATTAAAATGTCGTTGAACGGTAACGTATTGTGTTGAAGGTTAAAATGGCCACCAAAAACAGTTCAAAAGCTTTCATTTATACCACCGTAAGTTCGCAATTTCCAGTAATATTCGGCTGACAAGCGTGCATGTGTCAACAAGGCGGGCGGCGGGCGCGCAGGAATCCGGTAACAATTAGCGGCCGCCCACAGATGCTAGGCACTTGAACTGAGCAGTTCATGAACTTGCAACTTATTTAAGCCCACACTTTTAATTTGTAATTGTTAGTCGTATGTAGATATATATTACATAATAAGATTGCCGACATGCATCGACAAACATGATTCCACGACTGATTCTGATACTGTCCCGAGATTTTATCCTTAATGCTTTTAGTGCCATTTGAACACCAAAGTAATCCTAAACTACTAACTAACAATTAATCATACATTGTTAAGTTTCATTGTGAATGACTATTTATTATTTAACTCTAAAAGGGTACGGACATTGACCAATATTTGTTAAGCGATCTGTCAAAAAAAGGTAATAACTAACTTCGAGGCAAGCATTGTTATGGAGCAGGAATGCGCGCGTAGGACGCCTGTCGCCACCGTTTGCGCAACCAGAGCCTGAAGTCGCTTGCGTAAATAAATCAACAATAGATAGAACAACAGTTCAAATGAAACCCTGTCCCAATTTCCTATTTAAACACTTATTAAAAAATATAAATTCCAATAAACGAGTAGTTACTGTTGTAAATTCAATTATAAAGCAAATGCAATAATAGTTTTATTTAAGCCGCCACCTACAGTGATCGACGCGAACTAAACTATAGATCGATACACGTAGGTTGCGTGGCGTATCATAGATGGCGCTGTCGTTTATTTCTATAAACGCGGCGGTTTTAAAGCGGTCTTAAAGTTGTTTTATAAGGCGTTCGTAAAAATAAAATTAAAGAACTAACCTTCATTACTGCTGGGTTTTGGTGATTTCTGCCACTGATGTCTGACTTTCTGCGACCAGCTGATTGGGCTCTTCCTGCCCCGACTTCTTTCGCGTACGCTGTAATTTAGAATTTCCATGTTGTAAATAAAACAGAATTAATGTAACTGAGTGAGCGTGCTTCCCTTTTCATTTCGTTTTTCCCACTGAGCCACCAGCAAATACAATTTCGTATCAAGTGCCGATAACAATGTTTGTATTTCGCTTTGGAAACTGCTATTGCGGGTAACTAGTATTTTTATTAGGTCAAGTGAAACGATAATTTGATGCTCGGAAAAATTGTAATATGCTTATCGTTGTGTAACGTATATCTAGCAGCTGTTGTTTTGTCAATATTTTTGTTTAATATTTTTGACAGGTAAGTATGTTTTCCTTTTTTTATTGTTACTTTTAAGAGTTTAAGGCAATTTCCAAGATTAACAAAAATGTTTTACCAATATTTGCACAACATTTTGCAGATCACCAGATTATCTACAAATCTGAGTAAAGCTTAGATTATGAGATAAATGATAAGGAAATAAATATTTTCAACTTACATAATGATTTTTTGTTCATTTTTTTCTTCGTCCGATACATCTACCCAGTCGTCGCTGCGATCGCTTCTGTCACTGACACTGGTCTCGCTGCTCGGGACTTGGAACGCGATCTCCTGTCCGTTGTAGCTGATTACCGACCTCTGGCCGTACAGGCTGTTAGTCTTCTGCTCACTAGACATCGTCGACTGGCTGATATTCGACACCGTGTCAAACGAGAGACGCTTCTGGACGTTCGAGGGTACCTGCTTCTTCATACCCCTAAGCTTTACCATACTCGGGCTGTTAGGTATGCTCTCGTAGCAATGCGACAGCGACGCCGCGTCGCCATGTTTTATCGTGTCATATATATTTTCGTTCTCGTTATACACCGTGTAGTCGGAAATAAAGGAATGTCGACTACTGTACGTGGGACTACTGTCCTTTGACTTCGGCGGTCGAGCAGGAATTTTCTCGTAAATCCTCTCTGATCCTATTTTTTCATAACTGACAGTAGACGTGCCACTCACGACTTTGAAATTGCGTAGTTTTTGCTTGGTTGATACCCTCAGCTATTTGGATACCAGCGCTTGAAGTTACACAATATGGTTTAATGGGAGATTTGCAGTATTCATACCCATCGTCACTATCACCATCGCCTCTCGTTCTCTCCTCAAGTTCGTTTTCACACAGTTCATAGTTATGTAGACTACTTTCATCACCTTCAGGATGTGATCTCATTTCAAGTAAACATTGGTAAATGTTTTCTTTGTCTGTACACTTATCTTCTTCATGTTTATCATTTTCGGTCTTAGGAATTTCCGGTAAAGGACAATTTATTTTAGAAGACCTATCTACATTTTTTATTGGAATGATCACGACATTTTCTTCGTCTCTCGGTTCTAGAGGTTCGTAATAATCCTCTATTTCTTCTTGTTTTGGTTTCGATGTATAGCCGATGATGATTTCTTTGTTGCAGGCTTCAACGAGATTGCTTTCAAAGTCCATGTCAGTTTCAGGTTTCTGCTCATGTGTTGAGATATTTATTCGAGATTCATTCGTTTCAACTTGAGATTCTGGTATAACTTCGTGTGGTTCATCTGAACAAGTTATGGTTGTACCATTTGCTGAAACACTAACAAAACTGTATGAGTTATCTGATTTTTCTGAGTCTGAATATATTTGTGTACTGCTTTTCCGGCGCCACAGAAATGATTCGTTGGGTGTTATAGGTGAATTAATTTCTTGATAAATCTTTTCATCTTCACTAGGTCCTAGAACGTTTATAGATGGAACTGAATCTTCTTTCTGATCATTACTCACAGTATCTGTAAGTATACTGTTTTCGTGAATATCTTCAGGTATTATTTCAACAACCTTTAAAGGTAATTTCTCGGAGTGGATATAATTTGTTTTATACCTTTTGCGATCATACAAGGGCTCTTCTTTTTACTGATTTCACGTTCACTTTGGTCTGTTTTATTATCTAGTTTTGCTAATTCATTTACCGGTTTGATTGTTTTAATTTTTGGAATGCCGTCTTTACTACAAGATTTTTGGTTAATACTAGTGATGATTTCTTTTCAGGTACTTTTGGTTTTTCTTTTAATGGTGTTGTACTCTTAATTTTATCAGGTTGCTTTCTTAGCGTATTGTTTGAATTAGATTGAGCTGTTATTTCACATTCAAACTTTTTGATGACGTTTTTAACTACATTACTTTGCGCCGGTTTGATATTATCTTTGATTACTTTCTTTGATTCCACTTCTTTAATTTTGACTGGACTGCCATCAACAGAATCAGATCCACTCGGTTGTTCGCTTGAATCTTGGTACTTTAAACGCTTCTTTGAAGCTTTTGCCATTTTGGTACCATCAGATTTAGAACGAATAACACGAATTTTATTTGAACTATCTGCATTTGTTAAGTCTTCCATTGAATCCATGCTTGAACATCTTTTTCTGTTGTGGCGCTTTTTCGAGCTCCGTCTTTGTCGTAGTACTATTTTTATATTTGGACTTGAACTGAGCGTTGATGAGGGTGTGGAACTGTTGCTAGCGGAACATCGTGACGCTGACTGCAATTCCTCTAAGGTCTTTACTAGTTTGGACTGTTTCGGCGAGGCAACATTGTGTGTGTCAGTTTGTAAGTTGTTAAATTTCTTTGTGAGTTCTGCAACTTTACTGCTTGTTATCGTCATTGTTTTGGCTAACGGTGGTCGTTTGTGTGATGTCGTGGCGTTTTTAATCTTAAAGCTAACTTTTCTTTGATGCTGTTCTACTGTTTTCTTAATACTCGGTGATACATTAATTGGAATGCTGTATTCTTTGTTGTTGGTGGCGCATGAATGTTTCATGTTTTTGCCTCCACCTGTGCTCCTCGTATCTTCACTGTCTGTGGTTATAGCTATCTGTGCGTAATGAACGGTGTGATTATCCTTGCTAGTTTCATGACTAAGAGGCGGTGTAGTAGAACTGACGGTTGAATTTAAAAACGCCTGTTTCGCGTCTTGTAGGGACTTCATTCTTTCCGTAAATGTTGGCAGAGGTGGTTTAGCAGGTACTGAATAAATACATTTGTTGCTGTTACTTTGATTTTCCTTAATAGCCATCTCTGTTTCAGGTAGGATGAAGTTTTTCAGTAACGCCTTTATCGTGCCGTGTTGTTTGCCGTCGGTGTTGAATTTTTTATCGACGAGATGAGAGTGTTCGTGGTTATCGTGTCGCCTTCCATTAGGTTGATTAGCATTTGTGAGTGATGTCAGTCGTTGCCTTACTGCGCCATCTGGAACAAGAAAATAAAATACATTGTAGCAAATAGTTAGAAGTGAGAAGTTTTAAAATTGATATTTAGATTAAAAATCTGGTTTAGTTTATCAATGTAGATCACAATGGTAGGTCGCAAGGCGATTGTTCAAGTTTCCATTGTCACCGCGGCTCGGCTTGTTTGTACAGTTTTCCATGTAAGTTGAATGGCTCATTACCGCCATAAGTGTCCCACGAGATTGTGTTACTGATATGTGTGAAATATGTATTTGTAATGAAAACCAATTGCAGGTGGTTACAGAAAAAGTTATTGGTTCATGAGAAAATATTGGTGACGAAAGATTTTATGTTCCTACAAATAACGTTTAGCACGTACACTTATTGTTACATAGCAGAAGAAGTGATTCTGCAGTAGACTTCTACCCATCAGAGAGGTTACACAATTAATATGGTATTAATGACACGATATAATGTTATATTATTAAGGAGATTTTAAGTGATTCCTCTATAGGTACGCAATTACGCATGCAACTCGCTGATATTATAGCTGGCAGTAATTTTACGGCTGTTTGAATGACAATGGCGTGTCGTGCGGACAATAAAGGACGGTCAGCATTAAGTATGTATTTAGGAGACAAAAACATTCTTTGCTAACATGTAAGTAGTACCTCATGTAAGTAGGTGTCGTGCCAAAACATTGAACTTTATGGCAAAAGAGATGAATATTTGAGGAAAAAGGATAGCACTACTGATCCCTGTATAGCTTCGTCTTTATCTTATGTGTTGTAGCTTGTACGGAATAATAGTAGTTTTCTTACAAAGTGTAGATAATTCTATGATAAGTTAACGATTTTATTAGTTATTTTGATCAGGTGATCGGATCAGACCTGATTTAAAAACATTGAAACTGTGTGAAATATAGCTACGTAATTCGTATTATTATAATTGAGATAATATTTTGAATTTATTCCGATTGCTTCACGCATATTATTTTTAAAGGCCCATGTAGCAGTAGTGAGTCTATCGATGCTATCCCAAACATCCTTTCGAGAATAAAAAATATTGAATCTTCTCTTTGGTGACATTGACATAAGCAATCATTTATACATTCATCTGCCATAATAATATTTCGAACTTTTGCTAACTACATTCGCACTACTGAAGTATGTTTTGACCTATTCTAGCAAAATATCACAGTATGGGGTCATTCCGTGCGGGGCAGTGCTTTCACCGCGTGGGAACTGCGCACGCGTCGCAGATCATACCTGATTTACCAATTCTTTTGTTTACATACGTGTAATCATGCCTAGCTTGTGGCGGACAGGGAAATAGGTTTATGATGATATTAGTGGTTTCTCCACATATTTTATTGTTCCGTAAATTGGTTTTGTTTACGATTTCTTTGCGTGGAGCATGGTCATCTATTTAGCTTTGAACCCACTTTCGTAGTTTTGGATATGAACTCGAAAATCATGACTCTCCTTTTTCGCAGTCGTAGTGGGGTTATAACTATAGGTATACAGAGGACTGTACGAGTTTTTACGTTTAAAGTAATCGTAACAAGAACGTGTTCGGTGCTCTGATTGGTTGATTCATTGGTGCCGGCCAATCAGAGCGCCGAACGCGGAATCGTTTCGAATACTTTAAACGTATAAATCAAACTCGTACTAAGGCCTTAGTTTAAAAGCTTTCATATATTTCAATATTATCATTACTTAATTTTTTTTTTATTTATTTATTTATTTATACATTTGGAACACCAACAGCTATACAATTTGATTAAATAGAATGTGGTATGCAACAAGAAGCCAATTACTGGTTTCCACGATTAGTAACAGAAAGTAGAAACATGCCAACACAGTACTAAAATTACTTATTAAACTCATTAAACCACAAGCAATCTATAATGATGCACAAATTACTCCAAATATTAAGGACCATATAGGTACCCACTATGAATTAAAGAAATCAAGGTTCAACTGCCTGCGTGCCACAGAAGTTTTGTGTTAAATGGGTCGAATGAATACTCTTTACACAGTTTATTGAAATCATTGCTCGCTCGCACAATATACGAATTTTAAGTGTGTTGTAGCTACAGACTATTGAGTTAGGGGCTAGGAATTCTAATAAAAGATTGTATTCTTGTAAATAATTATTTACTTTTATTTACTTGCACATACTTCTATGAAAGGTAAGAACAACAACAGAACGAAACAAAAACATAAAGTGCCACCTAGCAGAACTATTCAAAAACCAAACACTGTAAAGCAGCCAGTGTTATATTTTATTAATTCAATACTCCCACTAAAATATAACACTCTTCAAACAATAAACATATTTAAAACAAACTATTCAATACAAAACAAAATATTATCTCTTAAAGTAATAAAAACCTGAGTTGGTAAAGTCTTAGTGAAAATATCTGCCAACTGACTTTTACTAGGAACATACTTAATTTTAATCAAGCCCAACTCAGCCTTCTCTTGAATAAGCAATTTACCAGTAGATATTACAAGAGCATCATCAACTTATATTATTAAAAATATCTTAATATTATTAAACTTCCCAACAAAAATACAGTTATCAGCTTGAGATTGTACAAAGCCATATTTTAACAGAAAATTACTAAACCTTTTGTTCCAACAACGAGGAGCCTGCTTCAAGCCATACAGGGATTTATTAAGCTTTAATACACAATTTTTATTTAACTTAACTCCCTCAGGTACTTCTATAAAAATATCTTCTTCTAAATAACCATTAAGAAAAGCTGTTTTTACATCAAATTGTTGAATTGCTAACTTATACTTAGCTGCAATAGAGAGAACAATTCTAATAGAATCATATCTAGTTGTAGGAGAGAATATTTCTTGATAGTCAACATCTTTGATCTGTTTGAACCCTCGTGCGCATAAGCGAGCTTTATAACGTTTTTCATTTTTCTCATTCTTCTTAATTGTAAAGACCCACTTTGTAGTAAGCGTTCTCTGATCAGATCTACTATTACACTCCATGTATTGTTTTCTTTATGTGCAGCCAATTCCTCCTTGATAGCTTGACACCATTCCTTTTTCTGTGGGCTTTGTAATGCATCATTATATGTTTGAGGCAATGACAACTCAACCAGGTTCGCTTCAAACCGTCGATTATTTCTTGGTCTCAATGTTATGTTTGAGTGTGATATATTTTCTATTTCTTGAGACGGCTCATATGCTGGGTCTTCACTGTTACAGCTCATCAAGCTTTCATCAGACTCATTTTGATTTGTTTCATTTAATTCATTAACTGCATTCACTGATTCTGTTTTATTATTTTGCACAGCATTATCTTCATCATCCATAATACTAATCTGTGCAATATTCTTCCTTATTTCTGTAACCAAATGTTCATCAAAAATTACATTCCTAGATATTTTTATGGTTTTTCTATCTGTATCATACATTCTGTAATTGTTGTTGTCATAACCAACTAATATCATTTTTTTACTCTTCTTTTCAAACTTTGTCCTCAACTGATCTGGTACATGAACATATCCAACACTGCCAAACACCTTCAAATGACCTATTTGCGGTTTAGTACCATACCATAATTCATATGGGGTTTTGCCTGGAGTCTGACTGGAAGATGTTCTGTTCAATATATAAACAGCACATTGTACTGCTTCGGCCCACAGATATAGTGGAACATCTCTCGCATACAACATTGAACGAGCACTCTCCACTATTGTTCTATTCTCTCTTTCAACACGCCCATTTTGCTCTGGTGTGTACGGAGCAGTAAGCTCATGAACTATTCCTTCTTTCTCCAAATAATCTTTAAAAACATTGTTCACATATTCTTTTCCATTATCAGTATGCAATGTTCTAACACCATGCATATATTTATTCTTAACAATATTGTTATATTTCTTGAATACTTCCATAACATCATTCTTATTTTGAATAAAATATACATACCTGAAACTTGTAGCTGCATCCTTGAACAACAAGAAATATCTCATGCCTTGAACTGAAGCTTGACTCATCGGTCCACAGACATCACTATACACCAAGTCCCCAGGCTGTAGTTCTCCTCGTGTAGATTTATGAAATGGAAACCTACACTGCTTTCCATATGCACATGCCTCACAAACAAAACTTAGTTCATCATTTTCATTAATTTTTAGACCTTCTACTGTATTATTAACAAACATATTTTTAATTTGTTTTGTATTAATATGTCCTAAACGTTCATGCCATATTTTTATATCACTTTTATTATTTTGAACTAAGTTACAAGTATTTGAAACTATTGTTTTTATATTCAACTCATACAGATTATTTTCTCTTATTTTTGCACTCATCACTATGTCATTTTCTTTATATATCAAAGCGCTTAAATCCTTCTTTATAATAGAGTAATTTTGTCGTATAATAACTCCTTCTGAAAATAAATTCCTCCGTAGACTAGGAACATATAATACACTATGCAGTTCACTGTTTATCCACTGTCCATTAACATATCTCTTTATCAACACTTTACCAATGCCGGATACTTCTATAGCTTGTTGATTTCCTAATGTTAACGATTTCTGATCACATTCAAACAGCTCCACAAAGAAGTCTTTTCTGTAGGTCATGTGTGCAGAGGCGCCACTGTCTAATATCCACGAATTGTCTTCTGTTTTGTTGCAATCGACTTCCACATTAAATGCCAAGTTGTCAGATGGTTGTGTAGACTTTCTGTACTTATTTTTATTCGGAAAACGACATTCCTTTGCAAAATGCCCTCTTTTTCCACAGTTATAACACTCAAATCTGTGTTTAGTGGTTTTGTTTTGATTCACACTACTCCCACTATGTCCAGATTCAATTTGCTTCGTTTGTTTCTTCCAACCTTTGTTGGCAACAAGGAGAGCTGTCTCTTGCTCTTCCACAGACACTAAACTAGCTTCTTCATCTAATAAACGAGCCGTCAAATTGTTGAGAGTTTGTTGTGTGGGATCCAATGACATCCATGCTTGGCGCAGATATCTATACTTTAAGGGCAATGTTCCAAGTATTTTTGTAATGATAGCCATCTCACTAACATTCTCGCCACTTTCTTTCAACTGCTTTGCTAAGGTTTCAACTTTAGAAATATGTTGAGCCATACTGTCACTTTCCGACATTTTATATTGATAAAACTTCTCATGAATTAGCATTTTACATAATTCACTCTTTTGCTCATATATAGACTCAAGTTTTGTCATTATTTCTTTAGCAGTTTCACAGTTTTCTACTAATGTGATTTGCTTGAAATCCATAGAAGATGTTAATATGTACATCGCCATACCATCATTTTTCAACCACTCTTCTGCCTTTGCTTCTGGTTTTGGCTTATAAATATCTATTCCTTTTGCCTTCAGAGCACATTTCATTTGGAATTTCCACTGTCTAAAGTTATTTCCATCAAATTTTTCTAAATTCATTCGTGTCGGATCCATTTTGTTTGACGTTACAAATCTCGACAATGAATTTTTTCTTATTCACGTTTTCTTTACCTTATCTTCACTAGCAGAGTATCCTGGGCCCATAACCTATTGAGTTAGGGGCTAGGAATTCTAATAAAAGATTGTATTCTTGTAAATAATTATTTACTTTTATTTACTTGCACATACTTCTATGAAAGGTAAGAACAACAACAGAACGAAACAAAAACATAAAGTGCCACCTAGCAGAACTATTCAAAAACCAAACACTGTAAAGCAGCCAGTGTTATATTTTATTAATTCAATACAGACTGTAGCAAGGGCACCTTAGTAGGACATCAGAACAAAGACATCGATATCTGTTGTGATATAACCAAAAATACAAGTTTAATTTTCTAAGCAATTAATTCTGACTACAATTTGCGAACGTGCATGGAGAATCGTAAAACACTAGAAATCTAGTTTTAGATCTAAGGCAACACCGAGATGAACGTGCTTACGTAACTGGGGCGGTGTTGCAAGCACTAATAATTATTACAAGATCGTTGTAATTGCTAATTATTAAAAATAAAGCGTTTAATTCGTGTTAATTGTTATTAGAAAGCATAGTTGATGAGTATTTCGACCGGATTTTTTGGGTTATTTAATAATCTCGCAATATCTTAATAAAAAATACTGGTATGCTTTTGCACACGCACAAAATCAGGATTACGAAAAAGGATAACGTTGCAAACTTTACTCGAATTGATATTATAATTGTATAAAATAAAAAAAAAACGTTTTTTTATTATGTTCGGTTCGGCGCGCAAACCGTACGGACGTGTGGTTCGTGCCGTTGTGTTTCGTATCGCGACGGTA